TATATATATATATATATATATATATATATATATATATATATATATATATATATATATATATATATATATATTATTGTTTTAGAAATTATGAGTGATAGATTGGTCTTTTAGAAATTAGGGATTTGAATTTGAACTTTGTTGACGTTATTTTAAGAGCAACAGTGACTTTTTTTCTATTTTAATGCAATTTGAAATTTGAAACTTGATTTGACTTTAAAATATTAAATTTTAAATGTTTATAGTATTTATGTATGTAAATATATATATTTTATTATTTTTAAAATACCATACGATACGATATACGGAGAAAAACGCTAGGCCGATATTTTCTGATTCGATAACCATGCATTTTACATTGACGAGGGAACACAGCCAATCGAAATGCACTAGGTAAATCGATATTAATTTGTTGCTCCGCGCGATGAACATTTTTTCTAGTGTATATAATAAAATAAAATAAAATAAAAGTCACAATTTGAATTATTTTATAATCAATTATACTTATAAAAAATAATCAATTATATTTATTGAAAAAATAATAATGGTTTATGACAAAATAGGGTTTAACCTGTGACTGTGCAAGTAGTTTAAATTTTCAATTGTACCGTAATTGTAATTTTAATTTTGAAAAAAAAAATATATATATATATATAGATTTTGAATCTAATGAGTTCGAAGCTACCAATAAATATAGATCCATAAAATATGGTTATTAAAACATAGCTTCGAGCCTTCGACTGCAAAATCCCCACGTTTAAAAAACTTTTTAATTTCTCTTTTCTTTCCCACTAAGGCTTCTGATTGGACTGCACTTTTACAGAAAATAATAATAAATAAATTTGATCCAAAATATATATAATAATTACCACTAAGGTACGGATTAACGATACCATTAATCATTAATATAACATAACAATTAAACTTAATTATCTCAAGTGGTATTTGGTATATATCTTCAAACTGTTTTTTTTTTTTTTTTTTACCACTGAATGTTGGAATTTTCATAACATAAAAATGAATTTATAAATATTATTATATTGTACTAAAGTTTAGTTAAATATGGTCCTATGATAAATGTACTCCACATAGTAAGTTGAAGCATTATTTAAAGGCTTGAGGTGGATTTTCACATGGGTTAGATTTTTTTAATTGGGCATTTTATGCGAATCTTCTTAGAATCTCTTTTTTCTAATTTTTTATTTTTTTAAATTGGTAATTCGTATATATTCTCCCACCAAATATAAATATATATATATAACGGTTTATTTAATTAATTGGATTTAACTTTTTAGCCTTTCCTTTGTTAGACTTAGATCCATGACCAATGAAGAGAGACCAAATCATCCTACACAGATTTATCAGATCTGTCCGGATGCTGATTAGCATTTTTGGTTCATTCGTTTAATCAATTTTTCTTTTATTATTTATTCCATTTTAGGAATCTTATTTATTAAATTAATTAATTTGTGTTAATGGGCCATAACCCACGTAGCCCCCAAATGGCCTGGACTCTAATTAACACTCCTGGCCCAAGTTTGTAAGCCCACCTAAATACCAATTAATAAATAAAATTAATTTTTTATTCAACTATAATATAAAATAAGTAATGAAATTGATATTTTAAATGTAATTTCAGAATATTGAATTTCGGAATCTGAAATTTGGAAATCAAAATCGGAATTGTGAATTGGTTTATAATTTCAACCCAGTGTGAGATTGCTGAAAGTAAGGCACCTGGCAATGCAGTGGCACCCACCCCTGAATTTGCCTTCAAGCACTTTTAGTGAAAACGACGTCGTAGCACTACAAACTGCATTCTTTGGAGTTGCAGAAAATTGTGGGGAAAATGATGGGTTTGATCAGAAGGATATAAACTTAGTAGTAAGACTCAGTTTTGTACTTGTTGAGCTTTTTCAGAGCAAAAAAATGATGGGTTTCTTCATATGGCTGATTGTTGATCTTCTTATTATTGATGTTGGGCAAGTTCATTCAGCTTCCATAACTCAATTATCAGAAGCTAACTCCTATGTTTCAGTGATGGGGGACCCTGGAATGAAGAACCCTAATTCAAGATTTGCATTTGAATCCTGGAATTTCTGCAATGAAGTTGGAATTCACGCCCCAAACATGGCCAGTCCAAGAATTGCTGATTGTACTGATCTTTTCTGCCCCAAATCAAAAGGTCTACTATAAAAAAAATAAAAAATCCCTTCTTTAGTGTGTGTGTGTGTGTGTGTGTGTACACGTGTGCAATTTAGTGAAGGAATAGAAGAAAACAATATGGTAATAGTGGAGTAATTAGTTTTATATGCAATATAATGATAATGCTGATCAATGATCATTAAGAAAGAACCCTGCTTTAGTTGGAGCTGAATTTAGGACTAAGCTATTATTAGAGTAAGTAAATTAATGCTAATCGAGTTGAGTTTGCTTTAGAGTAATTAGTCGTTCGAATTGGTAAATGTTTTGAAGCCATATCATCGCTCTATTGTGCACTATGTGCTTAATTCTATATTCGTCGAATATTCGAGTACCAAAGACTAGTATTCCTACGAATAGCAGTCGTGAATCTGGCTGTTATCGATCTACATATAAGTATCGGATTTAAGGACATTGTCTAAACAAGTGATTATTATTTGATTCTTAGATGATAAGAGAAGCAAGTGTGAAGTACACCAAAGAGTGAACGAATCGGACAACAGATTAAGAGCCGGTGACAAATTCCCGATCAGCGAGTTTAAATCGTACACAGATCCTGATATTTACGCTGTGGAGAAGGAAAAATATCTTGGTTCTCTTTGCCAGGTGTCCGATTCCGACGAGCCTTGGTATTTTTGGATGATAATGCTGAAAAATGGGAATTTCGACAAGAACACTACACTTTGTACTGAAAATGGGAGGAAAGTTGCTAAAATAGAGACGAGCAGAAGTTTCCCTTGTTTCGGTGAAGGGTGTATGAACCATCCAATCGTGTACCGTAATCAGTCCGAAATGGTTTCGTTCGGTGGCGGTAAAAATAATGTGTCTCTTGTTGGAGGGTTTTACGGTACGTATGATCTTGATGCTAATTTGAGTGGTGGTGTAGGAAATAACTCGTTTTTCACAGTTTCGTGGGAGAAGAATTTAAGCACGAATAGTTGGATTTTGTCGCAGAAATTGACGACTTCGTTAAAGTACCCGTGGCTTATGTTGTATTTAAGGTCGGATGCAGTAACCGGGTTTAATGGAGGATATCATTACAACGGGCGTGGCATTATGAAAAAGGTATGTGAAAAGTAGTTTCTGCTTTTATTTTAAGGTCTTGTTTGGTTCCTAAGATGAGATTAGCTAAAATCGGATGACAATCGGCACTTTCAATAGAATTCTAATTTCTTTGGAAGTGCAAAACTCATTCCAATTTTGTTCCAAGAAAAATGGGAAAATCGGAAATTGGAATGGTGAAGCTTGTTCCCAAACCGGAAATTTTTCGGATCCGAATCGATGAAATCGAATATTCCAATTTTTTTATGGCCTAAAATACAAAATACATAATAATATTGATATTATAAATGTAATTTTGTTTGGGGGGGGGGGGGGGGGGGGTGTTTAAAAATTAGAATCGAATCGAAAATCATAATCTAATTTATTTCAATTCCGTTAAAAAATTGAAAAAAAATCGGAAACTAGACTTTTCGGAATTTGAATAAAAAATGTTATTCCAAAATCGGAAATTTTCGGATCAAAATCGGCGCAATTCGGAAATTCAGTTCAAATTTCCACCCCTAATTGTGGGAGATCCCCAATTCAGTTGTACCTCCGAAACATTATTGGACTAACCAAACATCCAATAAAGTCCAATTATTTAATCAATCATTGCTAATCTTACCAACCAAATAAACCCTTATAAATTTTCCCACGCTCTTTACTTTGCATGGATTTCTTGAAATCCAATTGTTAACAATATTTATACAGTTGCCAGAGTCTCCAAACTTCAAGGTCAGATTGAGTCTACATATTAAACAAGGTGGAGGTCCAAACAGCCAATTCTACCTCATCGACATCGGAAGCTGTTGGAAGAACAACGGACAGCCCTGTGACGGAGACACTGTGACAGACGTAACTCGTTACAGCGAGATGATTATAAATCCATCAACCACAAATTGGTGCAGCCCAAATAAACTCGAGTCTTGCCCACCTCACCACATAACTATCAATGGAGAGAAAATACATAGAAACGATACCTCTCGATTTCCATACTCCGCTTACCATCTCTACTGCGCACCTGGAAACGCGGACTACTTGGAAAAACCGTACGATATTTGCGACCCGTATAGCAACCCACAGGCACAGGAACTCGTGCAGATTCTCCCCCATCCTGAGTGGGCCCCGCATGGCTACCCCAAAAGAAAAGGTGATGGATGGATTGGCGATCCAAGAACTTGGGAACTCGACACTGGAGCCTTGTCTAATCGGTTATATTTCTATCAGGTAATTTTCATCGGTTTCAGTTACGGAGCCAACTTACAGCTATGGGGGCCATCGCCCCCCCCCCCCCAAGCCCGCCTCCAAAAATCTTGTATTTCCATATACATACTTATTATGTTTCGTGTTTTTCATTGGTTTTATGTTTTATATAAAATATTAGAAATTTGTGAAACGTAAGGGGGGGCTATGGCCCCCTTGGCTCTATGCTGGCTTCTCCACCGGTTATTTATAGTATTTTTTCCATCATCACTCTTATGCAGGATCCGGGAACAAAGCCAGCAAAACGGGTATGGACTTCGATCAATGTGGGTACCGAAATATACATTAGCCCGTCTGGTGTTACTGCCGAGTGACCGTCAGCGACTTTGATGTCTTAGTTCCTAAAGTTACAGAAGATGATAATACCTATGCAGAAATATAATGTCCCAAAGTTCATTTGTTGACATGAAAATAGCCGATAATTAAATTACAATAGCGTAATCGAACAATTATAATTTGAATATAAATCTTCTCTTCATTCGAAAAATCATGACCAAAAGTAGAGGCCCTATCTATAGGTTGGGGACCTTCCTTTCATCAAGAAATGGATAGTCAGTATAGCCAATAACAGGATCTGCAACATAAAATGTTGCCCTATGATATGGATTAAGCGGAGCATTAATCTCGAATCTCTTCGGTAAATCGGGATTAGCCAAGAAATAACGACCGTAAGCGATGAGATCAGCCCTATTTTCCTCCACGGCTTTATTACCTTCTTCCCTGTCATAACCACCACCAACGATAAAAGTACCTTTAAAAGCCTTTCTCATCGGTACAAGACTGTGCAGACACTCCGTTTTTGTTGTTATCTTGGTGGCAGTTGTCATCCTAGGTTCAACCATGTGGCAATAAAGAAGCTCGTATTTGTTCAAAGCCTCCGCCATGTAAAGGCCGAGTGCTTTTGGATTTGAGTCTGCACATTCCGCAAAATTTGCAAATGGGGAGAGCCTTATTCCGACTCTGTAAGCTCCGATTTCGTTGGTCACAGCTTCGGTTATTTCTAGGGCAAAACGGCAACGGTTCTCGAGGGACCCACCGTATTGATCCGTTCGATCGTTGACTTGGTCTTTGAAGAACTGGTCTATGAGATAACCATGTGCACCGTGGATTTCAACCCCATCGAAACCTGTGATTTACGTTTATTTGTATTTCAGAAACACGAGTTTTTTTTACCAATTCAATATAAAATAGGGATGCTAAATGCAATAAACTTGGTATAAGAAATATCCTACCAGCTTCTATAGCATTTCTTGCAGCAAGTTTGAAATCATTGACAATAAGTGGAATTTTGTCGGTTTCAAGCCTTCGTGGAGGAGAAAATTGTGCAACATCTACACCGTTAGCGCGAACTTGTGGAGCGATTCCTTTATCTGTACATGATAACGGAGCCTGCCCATTTGGCTGGAACCCTGAAAAATGAAGCTTAATCAGTAATCAAGCACACGAACCTTGTTTAAAACGTGGGTCGAATAATCGACAGGATAATCATTACAGTAAAGATCATCGATTATCGAACGGTGAAAAAAACAGAGTAATCTTGAAAACAGAGTAATGAAACTACCTGTGTTTGAAACCCTGCCGACGTGCCAAATCTGGCAAAAGAATATTCCACCTTTGGCATGAACTGCATCTACGATGGGTTTCCACGCCTCGACTTGTTCCTTTGTCCATATTCCTGGAGTATGTGGGTACCTTCGGTACGAGAAAAAAAAAACGTTACTTTAATGAAACATGAAATACGATATTACATGTATACGTTGTTAAGTTCTTTTTACCCTTGTGCAGTGTCGGAAACTCCGGTGGCTTCGGACAAGAGAAAACCGCCTTTCGTTGCCCTCTGCGAGTAGTACAGTATAGCATGTGGCTGAGGAACGTTGTTATACGATCTTTGCCTAGTCAGCGGTGCCAATACAATTCTGTGAAATCATAAATGTAATTAACTCGGGAAATTACGATTTACAGATTCTAAGTACGAATAACTAACACGATATCTATTGCGCCTATTGTCGTTTTTAGAGCCCAAACCAAAACCGAAAACTGCTATCAATCAAAGGCCATTCGCACGAAAACTGTAGCGACTTTGAAACGAAGAAACGAGATAGTATACATGTATGTTTTCCGTCAAGAAAGTGATCGAAACTTGCAGAAGAAGCTAGATTAAACAGTTTCACACTGATGGGAATGTAAACTAAGAACAGATGCTAATTATCATGAGTATAATTAACTAAATATCTGTCTGAACTCTGAACTGAAAATCAAATTCACATATTTTTTATCTGCTAATTATAAAAAAAAATAAAAAAATCAAACTAATTAAGCACCGACTAGAAACAATAATCACAGACAAAACTAAACATGATGACAAAATACATAAGATGTAACAAATTGCCTGCCTTTCAGACTAAGAATCCCAATTGAGGGTTTCCCGTAACAAAAACTTAATCTACATTTCGAAATCCTCGGTGAGTTAAAAGTTAAAAGATTAAAAAGGGTGGGATTGTATTGTACCTATGAGAAAGCTGGAAATTTCCCATTTTGTAGGGTGTGAGAAGAGGAATTTGCTGCTTCTCTTGCTCCTTCTCGCCATTGATTTCCATGTTTTATCTTTACTTAGAAGAGAAGGGCAAATATTATTGTGAATGATTTGATGCTCTCACACTTCACCCGCATTTATAGAGGGCAGCTATATGGAATTATTATTATGCACTTATTTTGTTGACCCAAAAAAGTAGGAAAGCCAAATAAAAATTTGATCTTGATTACATCATGCATGACGAAATATATATGTTGTAAAATGTAAAGTGAACCAAGAAAAGATGTACTTGCCAATTTCGACATAATATTTGAATAAAAGATTAAACTCTTCAATTATAAAAAAAAAAAAAAAAAAAAAAAAATTCCAACAAATTTTGTGCATCGATGTGTTTAGTTTTCCAAATATTGTTATTCGAAATAATTTGGTATATGTTCACAATTTTCATATATGTGTTTCTTAATTTAAAATTAATTATAAAAAGTTATTTTAAAATCAACTATGGAATAAGATCTAAAATGGTTCATAAATTCCAAAACATTTAGATAAATTCATCCTACTCACGGCACCTTTAATGGAGTAGCATCACACATAAGCGAATTCCAATTCAACACTTAAAATAAAAAACGTTTAAAACTCAAATATACCATTACAGTGAGATAGCAAAGTCTAAGTAAAGCCAAAATAAAATTATAAAAATTAAAAAGAAAAGAAAAAAAAAAAACAAGCTACAAAACTGAGTCCAGAAAACATAGAACTTTTGTGCTGAATCAAAGCAAAAAAGATAATTTAGAGTTTAGGAAAGACAAAATGAAGATAGGCTGCTGACAAAAATACAACACAGATTGAAGAATACGCGCATCTTCTTCACTTGAAGCACTTAGCATCCAACAAACCCTCTCCCTCAAAAGGCTCGGCATCTTCAATCATCTGGCTGGCACGCTCCTTCTGAGCTTCGTCATTGATATCCACCTTCGTCCAATGGTAGAGCTCCATGTCGTAACACTCGTCCATTACAAACTGAGGAATTTCAGTCCCACGGAATAGCCACAAACCCTTCACCTTAAACGGAGCTTCGGTTCCAATAACCAACATCTTTCCGAATGCATACTTACGGGCCAAATCCATTCTCTGCAGGAATCCACCGACCTTGTTCAAAGTGACAAACGAGACAGTGTTCTCATCATTGTACTTGTACTCGCAGAACCACAGGGAATATCCTTCAGGATCATACATATCCCAAAACCCTACACACATCAACAACAAAAAAAGGGATAAATAATCAGGCAACTTGTTTTCATGTTCAAAGATCTTTAGTTAATTGTTTTTTGAATCTTGAAAGTACCTTTAACGGCAACTTCACGGAAGTTGGTCTTAGTGTTGGAGTACAGCCTCTTCCAGTCATCTAGAACCATCTTGCTTGGCGGCAGTAGATCCAAAGCATTCTTTGCCTTGGGTTTAGGTGCTTCTTCTTCCTCAGCCTCTACTTCCTTGGGCTTAGGTTCTTCTTTCTTAGCCACCTTCTTGGGTTCCTCCTTCGCCTTGGGTTTTGCAGCCTCTTTTGGTGCAGGTTTCTTGGATGCAACAGGTGGGACAGATTCCGCTTGTTTAACATCACCCCATACCTTCTTGAAGTTGGGCTGGTTAATCAGGGTCCAGAAATACCTCTCCACATGTGGGAACTCCGATGTGAAGGTCTTGGTCATGACTCCCTGAAATCCAATAGCCAGGTTACATGTCATAACAATGTCGGCAATTGTTACAGCATGTCCAACCAAGTAGGTGTTGGATGCAAGATGGGTGTTCAACGCCCCTAGAGCTCTCTTCAGTGATGCAATTGCAGCCTCCTCAGCCTGTACACAAGTGACAAGTGATTTTAAGTAATAATGAAGATTTTCAGAGAGTTAGTGAACTACGATAAAAAAGGATAAAGTTTAGAAATCACTATAACAATGGCATACCGGAGGAAGATACAATCGGTACCCAAGTCGGGGGTACAGCCAGCCTGCTATGCTTGCATCAATCTCAGTGGCAGAAAAATCCATCCACTGCTCGATTTGGCCCTATTTAAAGCAATATAACAAAACAAGATAAGTGGATAAGAGTATGAACTAGAAATTATGAAGACTTAATTCATGAATGAGAGTACTTACGTAATCAATCAAGGACGAGCCATATAGGGAGCTATCAGCGCTCGATCGGACCACTGCATAAAAATAAGAAAATGAGGAAAACGTCTAAGCAAATTAAACTATAGCATCAACACAAAATTGACCAGAAGACATTTTACCGTAGCGAGCAATAGCATTGCTCTCAAAGATGGCACCTTCGGGAGTTTCCAGAACAGGAATCTACAAAATGGAAAATCTAAACTTAGGATAACAGCAAATATTTGCCGAATAAAAAAGAAGCAAAAATCAAAATCAAAATCATATACCTTCCCCAAGGGATTCATCTTGATAAATTCTGGGGTCTTGTTGCTTACACCCATCTGAAATTCCTTTACCATCTCAATCTTAACACCACAGTATTCTGCGGCAATAAGTACCTTGAATGCATTTTTGTTTGGGGAGGAGTGCAAAACCTGAATAAATTACCAAAAAAGGCTCAACAACACAGATCAACCATAAAAGAAGGGAACAGAAGTTACTTTTGGATATGATCATGCAGAGTATTCCAAAATGTAACAGGGGCAACAAGAAAAGTGGAATGCAGAAAATCACAATTTCCGATAAATAACCAATACAGCGGAACTAACATCCGATTCGACATTAATCCTATATCCTCAATTACAAAAAAACTAAATCTTTAAATACAGCAAAGATGCAAAGATCGGTGATTCTGTACAATAAACCCAAGAAAGAACGAATGTCCGATTGTAAAATTATACAATTAGCAAATTAAGTTCTATTTTAGATTCAAAAATGAAGAACAGATCTGCAGCAATCAATAGGAAGATACAAAACGAAAGGTACACTCACCAGAGCCATGGCTTCAGAAGATCGAATTTTCCACTCTAAATTCACAGAAATCTGAAAAATCCAAAAATAACGGAAAAAATGTTCGCAAATGATCAGAAAATTAGCGAAATTGCATTTCGTGAATGCGGAAAATGCCCTAAAATTGAAAATAAATAGAAGAAAACAACAGATCGAAGGGTTTAGAGAGAAGAAAAGGGGTTTTACCTATAGAGTGAAAGAAGCCGTGAGCTGCAGAGAGGCCGAGTGAGAAAGAAGTGATGCGTATATGAGAGAGAAGAAGTCTAGGGTTTGTTGTGGTGTGGATTTATAGTTTGTTTTGTGTGATGGTTGCTCAAGGGTACCCGGTTTATATAGAGGAATATGCCGAGTTGAGTTTGTTCACGTGCTGAGGGTGAAGGGCAATTTGGGCCTATGGGCTCTGACTAGGCATTACTAATTTTCGGCTTAATTCTACTATGCACCCATACATTTTGCTTTTCAGCACTTCCACCCTCCAAAAAGTTTTAATGGCACTTTGCTCCCTCAAAAGTTTCTTTTAGCAGTTTGAACCCTCAAATACAATAAATCATCTACAAACCACCCTGATTATGTTTTTAAAAGCTAATGACTATAACTTCATCTTTGTAGTAATATTTTCTCGGATGCAAATTGTAAAATCAATTTTTTTATATTTCTCAATAACCCAAACGAATTTCGAAACTATAAAGTTCAAAAATTATTCATCATATTTTTAAAATTTATATTTTCTCACAAAAAAATATCGCATATTTTATTTTCATCAAATTTATTCGATAGTACATCTGTTACTTGAATTATTAAAATAAATTGATATTTTTAAAAAAATGAGAAACTATATATTTTTCAAAAAAATTGTGAGAAAAATGATTTAGAGTGCAAAAAATAAAAAGAAATATATATATATATATATATATATATATATATATATATATATATATATATATATATATATATATATATATATATGAAAGGAAACACTAGTGAAAATGTAGAAATAAACGGTCTATAAGATGATACACCTGGTAGAAAGCATCGGGTAATTTGCACCATAGATTTATACAAATAATTACTCACTAAACACACATACATATGAGTTCACTCAGTGTATTTTATCGGGCATAAGATCTACAAAACTCAAATACCCCGATTGCATTTTTTTTCCCGTTACATTTTAAAATATCAATATGGTGTATTTAATTACACACCCCCATTAGGTATTAAAAAATCAATTTATGGTGCTCTATATGAATATTTTTTGTATTTCGAATGTGCAAAGTAGTATTAAATTTTTATGTGGGTGCAAAGTGCCAACATACTATATTTTAAGGGTGGAAAGTGAAAATTAACCAGTGGAAAAATAGAAAAGATAAATAAAAATAAAAAAAAGGATCTTGAGAAATTAAAGTCGTTGAAAGATCATCTTCTATTCTTCAAACTCCTTGAAAACTGCAGCCCGACAACGAGTAAAAACCCACAGATCTTGCTACTGCAGTTCTGGTAATAAAAGCCCAGAAGAAGTAGAAGAGAGAAAAATAATATAAGCTGCGAAAAAGATGAGTAAAATCACAAGTCTCAGCTGTATCCGCTTCTTCACATGCCTTTTCTCTTCATTCTCCCTTCTCTTAATTACAGGTATGCCCTTCAACTCCCTGTGTGTGTGTGTGTGTGTGTTCTTGAAAAATGAAAAGAAGAATTGATGGATAAAAAATGTTTCTTTACATTTGAACATGGATTTTAAGGTTGAATTGTTGAGCCCTTTTGTGGGTTTTGCTTTTATGCATCTCTAAAAGTGAAATTTCTTCTGAGTAGCTAAAGTATTTGGTGACTGAATTGATTTTAATTTATGATTAAAAAAAAGGGGGAAATTTGGATCTTTCTTGGCATGATTGCTGTTAAAATTACTGTAATCCATGTTGTTAGGCAAATCTTGATTCTTAATCTTGTGTTAAGATAACTAACTACTTGGGAGATTGAGCAATAGAGCAAAAGCTTTGAGCTTTAGTTGTGGGATGTGAATTAACCTAAGTAAAAATTGAATCTTTCATTTTCCTAACAAGATTTCGATAAGCTCATGAATTATAGGTGAAATCGAGCATTTCGTTGACAAAAAAATCCTAAATCTTTTATTGCCTTTAGTACACGTTTGAGGCAATTGTTGAATGTTAATTGTCGATCTGTGTAGGATTAGCGGACACCTCATCGACATCGAACAATGAGAAAGGTAGTACGAAATCATCCGAAGGAAGTGGTTCCACTTGGCTGAAATTCATCATAATATTCTTTGGGCTTTTGGCAGTCGGGGCATTTTCGGTATTCTTGTTTAAGCTGTGGCAAAGAAAGAAAAGAGAGGAGCAGCACGCGCGTCTTTTGAAGCTGTTTGAACAAGACGATGAACTCGAGGTCGAACTTGGTATTCGGGATTAGAAGATAAGTGTGCTTTGCCACTATTACTTAACACTCCGTAATTGCTTGATTCGGGATTCGTGTCTTGTTTGTATTGAGGTTGTTTGCAAAGAATTACCTTGTTTTTATCGTCTTTCGTTTCGATACGTATGCAGTAGCGATTTGTCAGCCACCGTTCGGATTGAACTGTTAAAAAAATTGTGTTATTTTGAATTGCTAAAGATTCTCATATGATCCATTTTTAGGGGTAGTATGCTAAAAAAAGTTGAATTATAGATGGTTTTTGCTAATAAAATAACATGAGGACTGTTTAATAATTAGAGTAAATATAGGGGTGCGGAATGCAATAAAGGCTAATTCACATATGGGGGCCCAATTTAGAGTCCGGGCCACATCATATGAATCATCTATGCACACTATTTCCTTAATTTGGGCCCGATCCACAAGTTTTATCATACTACTCCAAAATGGGTCGGATCTTTTATTGGGGGAATCAAGCCCATATTTAAAAAACACTTTTTCACCTCATTATTTTTACCTGCGGTAAAAATACTTCGGTATCTTCTAATTAATTACAGCTGTCATTTGTATAAAGATTAATTTAACACGGCATGGTTGTTGCCTGTTGGCATAGAAAATAAAATAATAATAATAATAATAATAAATTAATAAAAATAATGAAGAGTGGTTTCGTCAAATATTCGATTGAAAAATTCAGAGTCACATGTAATTAAAGTTGAAGGCGATGTGGAAAGCGATATATTGGAAAATTGAATAACATGAGTCCACGATTGGACCACATTCCACATTCTTTCCTTTTTAGGTAATTCATTTTCCAATTATTATAAAACAAGGGTCTTTTTGTAAATTAACTTTTATTTTTATTTTTATTTTTATTATTATTATTATTATGTTAATCCAAAGATTAGTGGCTTTTCTCACTGAATTTTTGGATAATAATAATAATAATAATATCTTTTTATTGTAAGTGCTTAAATTGATAAGACAACATCATGCTTAATCATTGTTATTTTTCTGTTTCTGATTTGTTAATTTTGTGAATTTAAGTGCATAGCTTGTCTTAAACATCACAACAAATTTATGTCCAGCTTTGGACTTTGATTTTTTTTTTTTAATCTCACTCTTAATTTATATATAAATTGATTTTTGTTAATGAGGAATCAGCATGGAATTAGTAGTACAAGTTGATATGTTTACGCAACTCAAATGAAAGAATAATGCAATTAGAAATCTTTTAATTAATTAGGTCCCATTGCAATTACTGTTGAGCTTCCTTTCTTTCCCATTTTTACATAAAACGTCTCTCTCATCTTCTAAACTTAATTTTACTTTATTACTCTAAATTGTTAATTAATCTTGTTCATGAATGAACCAATGAACCTAATTAATAATACACACAAATCTATGTCTATTATATAAACAAGTTTATATACTCTTCCATATTAATTATCAGATGTGTCAGCTAATTTCTAAAGATTATGAACTTCTATTTCTTTTTACGTTTTAAAGCTCACGTATCGTGAGCTTATTTTTATTTAAAATTATAATCATATAAATTATATATAATAATAATAATATTAAAAAAACAGCTTGTAAAAGTTTAATCAAACTCGAGCTTTTGAGGCGTCCAAACTAAATAAGTTGAGCTCGGTTCGAGTTCGACTAAGTTACACTACTCTTATGTAAGCTGCTGTGGCAAGAACTCTTGAACCTCCAAGACAATGTACTTATTATCAACGAGTTCCGTTCGATTTTTTTTTTCGAGTCACGGTTTCATCGGCTTCAAGTTCACAAAAAAATATATTACCTTTAAGTATGTGTTCCAAAAACAAATGAGATGCAATATTAATAAAAAGGGAACAATTTTAATTTGCAAAGTTGATATGCATTTTAATTGAAATAGATAAGTCCCAGTTAGTTTCAACAATGATGAAAATTAACCAGTTATATATGTATGCACCAAATACTAGTAGTATATACATGGAGAAAAGGTAAAATTTTGGATAAAATTAATT